CAGCTCAAGACCAAAGCTGCTAGAAATCTTAACCCCTGCATGACCATACTGTGCAGAAGCTGGAGCCCTGGATGAGATATGACCCTGACTGGCCATCGGAAGATGTCTGGCTGCTTTATTGGGAGTGGTGACCATTAGATGCTTGGTTGGTGGATTCTGCTGATTAATTGATAATACATACATGTACATGTTTAATGATGTTCACTGTGTGAAGGCTTGTTCATTGGGAAAAGGTCGTGCTAACCTGTAGAGGGCCATTGGAATCCCGGGCCCAGGGAGGATAGAGGGTGAGAGCCCTAAATTATGTGAGTAACGCCACAACTGCTCTTTTGGCTATCTTCTTTACCGGCTTGCATTTCTCATAACTTCCCACCATTCCTACTTTCTGCCATTGCTTAAACATTTAGTTATTCTTTATTGCCTCCTACACATCGTTGGACTACACCACATTTCCGTGTCATGAAATTTCCCACCATTGGTTTGGACACAGCTGCACTTTCTGTAATAAATTTGGATATTTCCCCCTAAGCCTCACTGATATTATTGTGGTCAGTTTGGTTGTTGCTCAACCTTCATAGAACCTCATCCTCAAATTTCATACTAATTTCTTTATCCACAAGCCTCTGTCACTATCCTTTATTCTTCTTCACATCAATTCCGATCTGTGTGCGTGCTGCATGCACGGTTGTCAGAAAGTTTTCCCTTAGCAGCTCCGGTCGGGATGGCTGTGGAGCCCCCTGGAGTGGCACCTTCATGGTGCTCAATATATGACCCTGCTGACCCGACCCCCCTTCAGTTCCTTCTTACCGTCCATGACGGCCATTGGAACAGTACTCACTTGCTCAACAAGTGCTCCCTTAGTGTTCTTCTGTTAGTTATTACAGTTTATAGTTAGTGTTATAGTTAATTTAGTATAGATAGTTTAGATAGTAGGTTGGGAGCAGGGTCTCTCCCCAATCCCTAACCCATCCGCTGAGCTCCGGGGCATCCTGTGAGCCCAAGGCTTTAAGCCCTGCAGTGCTTGTAATAAACCTATGCCCCTCAGTAATCCCCACAACTGTTGTCTAAAGTGTCTGGGGGAAGCGCACCAAATGGAAAGATGCAAAATCTGCAGGGCTTTTCAGCCAAGAACCAAAAAGTAGCGTGATTTCCGACTAAAACAAATGTTAATGGAACCCGCTTTCCACCCACAGCCGGTTGCAGTCTGCCAGAACCCGGCACCAGGTGCGTGTGTACGGAGTGCTCCGGCATCCATACGTGACACGGTGCTGAGGAAGGACTCTACCACAAGAGACCCTTGGCACTGGTGCTCCCTGGCACTGCACCCAGGGATAGGGTGGCCAGACATCCCTGTGGCCCGCACTGCTTCCTGCAGCTTCCATTAGTTGGGTACAGTGAACTGCGGCCATTGGGAGCTGCGGGCGGCCGTGCAAATATAAACAAACTGCCTGGCAGCCCACCAGCGGATTACCCTGACAGGGTGCGTGCAGCCCGTGGGCCGCAGATTGCACATCACTGGTCTAGAGGCAAGCCCGCTATGATGCGGCACTCGCAGTCCCCGGCTCATACCTGGCACTGCTCTCAGTCGCCTTCGCCGTGTCACTGCTCCCTGGCATCAAGCCACACGAGAGCCCCTCTAGCACTGGCGACATGATGCTCTCCCTCCCTGGCAGCAAAGCCAGACTGGCACCAATCCCCAGTGCCAGCAGAGAACCATCACCGACCCACGGTGACATCAGAGGATCAGCACTGACCTGTGGCACCGGGCCTTCATTCTTGATCGCAGGCACTGGATACCCGCTATTGGTCCCCATCGCCGGATCCCGGGCACCGGTCACCCCAGTGAGATCATCCTGGCACCAGTCTCCTGCTTCTTCGTGGGACTGGTTGTCGGTGCATGGGCCCTTGGTGCCACCATGGTCCTCACGATCAGGATCTGCTTCCTCGGATTCTGATGCCGACTTGTACTACTCGAGGAGCAGTCAACATAGGTCCGAGAAGCAACAAAGGAGGGCACTGCTGGCCTGGCAGCCACAGTGGCAACCCCCGATGCAGTGGCTTACCATCAGGCCAAGGGTACCTTTTCAAGGGGGGGGGGTCGAGATTGGTAGTCTCAGAAGACCAGTTACTCCACTCTCCTAGGGACAGGCCTATGCCTTGCGGATCTGAGGCCACGCTGTCCCAACCTCCCCTTCAGGCTCCAGTCACGGCCGAGGCGACCCCAACACGGGACCAGCTGCAGAGTCAGGCTACAGCGTCCCAGGATGTAACCGCCACAGGGGCGTGCACTGAGTAAGAGGAGGTCAGGGAGCTGGAGGGGCAGGAGGACCCGGTACACTCTCTGTCCACCTCGTCCTCTTCCCCTGATGAAGCTGTGGCAGGGGCATCAGCTTTGGGCCCTCCTCCAATTGACCATAGGGCACATCAGGACCTCCTTAGGCAGATTGCCTGCAACATGAGGTTGCAAGCGGAGGAGGTGGTGGAGGCCAAGGACCCCATGGTGGATATTCTCACTCCCAAAGGTCCATCACGGGTAGCTCTGCCTTTGATCAAAACTGTTCAAAACGATATAAAGATCCTATGGCAGATCCCGGCCTCAATTCCGCCGACCACCAGGGGTGTGGAGCGCAAATACCTTGACCCTTCCAAGGGCTATGAATACTTATTCTCACACCTGCAGCCATGCTCTCTGGCAGTGTCAGCACTCAACAAGAAAGAGCGTCAGGGACAGCAAGGATCAGCCCCCAAATCTAAGGAGTCAAAATGGATGGACCTATTTGCTAGAAAGGTCTATGCCAAGGGAGTCTCCAGCTGAGGATCGCTAACCAGAAAGCTATCCTCAGTAGGTATAACTTCAATTCATGGGCCTCCATGTTCAAGTTCAAAGAGCTGATCCCTGCGGACTCTAGGGCTGAATTCTCCTCCATCACAGAGGAAGGGAAGGTGGTAGCGTGGACCTCTCTGCAGGCGTCTCTAGACTCAGCAGATTTGGCCGCCCATACCCTCTCCTCAGGCATAGCCATGAGGAGAACATCATGGCTTCAAGCATCTGGGCTACCCCCGGAAGTGCAGCAAACCCTGCAGGACCCTCCCTTGGAGTGAAAGAGGCTCTTTTCGGAGCAGACGGACTCCACGCTGCGCAGCTTGAAAGGCTCCAGAGCAACCGTGAAGTCACTGGGAATGAATATGTCAGCAACCCAACGCAAGCACTTTAAGCCCCAACCACAACAACAACGCTCATATCCTCCTCAGCTGAGGCAGGACTTTTATAGACAAAGGGGCAGGAATAGCAGGCAGAAACCTTCCAATCCCCTTCAGGGCAAGGTCATGGCCAATCTCAGCCTCCATCAGGCTCTAAACAGGCCTTTTGAAGATGCGCCCAAGGACGGTGCACTCACCACACCATCGGATCCATACCCATGTTTTCTGAATCCTCTATCCCACTTCTAACGTGTTTGTTCCCAAATAACATCGAACTGCTGGGTTCTTCGCATGGTAGAAGTGGAATATTCTCTCCAATTCTGCTCCTCCCCTCCCTCCCACCCCCCTTCCCTGTCCCTCTTCAGGGACCCCTCTCATGAACAACTCCTTATCCAGGAGGTGCAGGTGCTCCTCACCATAGGGGCAGTGGAGGAGGTTCCTCAGAATAGAAGGGATTCTACTCCTGATACTTCCTTACCCCCAAGGCAATGTGGGGGAGTCTCAGACCCATTCTAGACCTGCGAGGACTCAACCAGTCCATGGTAAAGTTGAAGTTCCACATGGTCTCCCTTAGCACAATCATCCCTTCCTTGGATCCAGGAGACTGGTATGCTGTCCTCGATATGAAGACGCGTACTTTCACATAGCCATTTGACCTGCACACAGATCTTTTCTCTGGTTTGTGCTCAACCACAAACACTATCAGTTCACAGTCCTCCCATTTGGTCTGTCGACAGCGTCCCAAGTATTCACCAAGTGCATGTTGGTTGTAGCAGCCTTCCTCCGGAGGAGGCAGGTGCAGGTATACCCCCACCTAGACGACTGGCTGCTCAGGGGCCAAACCAGGGAGCATGTAGAGTCTCATGTATGATTGGTCAGGTCCACTTTCCAGAGATTGGGACTCCTCCCCAACGTGAACGAGCCAACCTTATCACTGACCCAAAGAGTAGAATTCATCGGCGTGCTGCTGGACTTGGTACAGGCAAGGGCGTTCCTGCCAGAGACCCGTTTCCACGCCATGACAGACATTATTCAAAGCCTCAGTCGGTACCTGACCACTACCACAAGGGGATGCCTGAGTCTCCTGGGACACATGGCAGCCTGCACGAATGTAGTCAGGCATGCGAGAATGGGGCTCAGACCCCTTCAAGCGTGGCTCGCACAGATATACCGACCAGGGTGCGATAGGCTGGACTCGGCAGTGATGGTGCCAGGACACATACTTGAGACCCTACAGTGGTTGCTCAACCTCAGATGGTATGTGAAGGTGTCCCCTTCAACAGCGCACCATCCTCCTTGTCCCTAGTAATGGACGTGTCAGATTTGGGTTGGGGGCACACCTGGGAGATCTCTGAACAAAGGGCCTGTGGTCACAGGACAAGCTCTCCTTTCATATCAATTACAGGGAACTGAGAGTAGTGCGACTAGCATGCTAAACTTTCCAGTCCCAGCTGGACAAACCGTGGCAGTGATGACGGACAAAACCACTGCTATTTTTTACATCAACAAGCAGGGTGGAGCCCATTCCTTCCCCCTATGTTGAGAAGCCCGCCAGCTATGGGAGTTGTGCATAGCCCACTCCATTCACCTGGAGGCGTCCTATCTCCCAGGAGCGCAGAACGAGCTGGCGGATCACCTCAGCAGACCATTCTGCAACCACAAATGGTCTGTCTGTCCAGATGTTCTTCACCCCATCTTCCAAAGGTGGGGATTTCCCCAGGTCGACCTGTTCACCACCTGGAGCAACAGGAAGTGCCCAAATGTTCTGCTCCTCCCAGAAACACAGCCCAGATTCAATCATGGATGCGTTTCTGCTACCTTGGGGAGACAGCCTCATGTATGTGTTCCCACTGGTCGCACTCGTATACAAGATGCTGCTCAAGATCTGCAGGGACAAAGTGGAGGTGATTCTGCTGGCCCCAGCGTGGCCCCCGTCAACACTGGTACACCACGCTTCTAGAGCTGTCAGTGGACACCCCGATCGTGCTACCACTCTGAACCGATCTGATCACTCAGGACCACGGCCGCCTCCACCACCCAGACCTCCAGTCCCTCCACCTCACGGCCTGGAAGCTTCATGGTTAAACCCCATGGAGCTCCTATGTTCGGAGCTGGTAAGAGAGGTTCTACTCGGCAGCAGGCAACCTTCCACCAGGGCTACTTATCTAGCCAAGTGGAAGAGATTCACTTGCTTGTGTGCCCGGCAACACACCTCCACTCCAGGCATCTATACCACTCATCCTGGAGTATCTTCTGCATCTCAAACAGCAGGGCCTAGCTGCGACATCCATCAAATACCATCAAATCAAGATACCTTTCTGGTATCTCAGCCTTCCACCCGGGAACGTCTGGATGCTCCATGTTCGCTAATCCCATGGTAGGCCGTTTCCTCAAGGGCTTGGAATGCCTATATCCACAGATTAGGCGACCGGTTCCTGCAAGGGACCTTAACCTGGTCCTCACCAGGCTCCTGGAGCCCCCTTTTGAACCACTGGCAACTTGCTCCCTGCTCTATTTGTCATGAAAGGGGTTCTTCCTGGTAGCCATCACATCAGCCAGGCAGACATCTGAATTAAAGGCTCTGATCTCCGGCCCACCCTACACAGTCTTTCCCAAGGACAAGGCGCAGCTCAGGCCTCACCCAGCCTTCCTCCCCAAAGTAGTGTCACAATTCTACACTGGTCAAGACATTTTTCTATCTGTCTTCTATCCTAAGCCTCACACCAGTACCCAAGAGCAGAGGCTGCACTCACTGGATGTTCGGAGAACACTAGCATTCTACATCGAGCGCACGAAACCATTCAGTAAGTCAAACCAACTATTCGTGGCAGTAGCAGACCAGATGAAAGGACTCCCGGTCTCATCTCGAAGAATGTCTTCCTGGATCACATCCTGCATCTGCACATACTATAACTTAGCCCAGGTCCCAGTCCCAACTCTTATGGCACATTCCACAAGGGCACAAGCCTTGTCAGCAGCATTCCTGGCCTAGGTCCCTATACAAGAGATCTGCAGGGCAGCAACTTGGTCATTGGTGTGTATGTTTACCTCTCACAATGCCAGAGTTTGGCAACCTTTGGCATGCGGCCCATCAGGGTAATCCGCTGGCAGGCCGCGAGACTTTTTGTTTACATTGCCTGTCCGCAGGCACAGCCCCCCTGCAGCTTCCAGTGGCTGCAGTTTGCCGTCCCTGGCCAATGGGAGCTGCGGGAAGCGGCGGTCTGAGTGCTGTCATAGCTGTCACACCGCTTGACAATTTCTCCCTCCCTCCCAAAGCAAAAAACGCTGTGTAGAGCAAATAAAATCTATTTACTACTCCTTGATCTCCACAGCCCGACGTGGTGTTTTTACACACCTCCTGTAAGTGCAGATTCCTGCTTTTTCAGAGTCTGGGACACGGTGGCTAATATATCAGTAAATATTTCTGAAGTGCCTATCACCAAAATCTCAAGTAGATGCGGTAGTAAGCAGCAAATACAACGGCTCCTCAGAACCAGGAATCTCTCCCGAAGCTGTGAGCTTCTAAACAAGGTTTGAAATCTAGAAGCCTGTGTTCATTGGCTGAGCCTTCATCAGGGGGCGGGGCTATCAAGGAGGCCAGGGCTTTATAAAGCAGTGAGCAAGCAACCAGGGAGCTTTGCGAACAGGGGCCGCTAACAGGGAGGTTGGAGAGGGAGTGTGGAAGGGGAGTGGGAAGGGGGCGAGGTACACTTGCCATTCTTTAAAACCTTTACACTAAACTATAATCAAAATTCCCTGATTTAAACAAAAACCCTATCATTAACCTAGGTAACTGTAGGAGAAAATGCAGGCAGAAGCCCAGCAGCAAAGTGGGGGCTATCCTGTTTATTGTACTCAGTGTAGCACGTTTGATTACCTGCCCTATGGGCGGGTGGCGTATGTGTGCATTCAGTGCAAGAAGCTCCTGGCCCTCAGAGACCGTATACAGGCTTTGGAAGCCAGGGTGGCGGAACTGGAGGAGCTAAGGGAGGCAGAGAGGTATGTTGATGAGGCTTTCCGAGACACTGTAGATGTGTCCCACCTCTGGTCGGACAGCCCCTGCGCTGTTAAGGAGGATGAAAAGCCCAGAGAAGGAGAGCAGTCAACGGGAACAGAGGGAAACCTTCCCATCGTCGGGACCCTCCTTCCAGATGATGTTGGGGTATCCTCTCGCACTGACGTTACCTCTCTGTGGGAGGAAACTCCAGTCATTAGGAAAAGGCAGGTGTTACTAATGGGAGATTTGATCATTAGAAACATAGATAGATGGGTCTGTGATGATCGGGAGAATCGTATGGTGACTTGCCTGCCTGGTGCGAAGGTTGCGGATCTCTCGAGGCATCTAGATAGACTTATGTGTAGTGCTGGGGAGGAGCTGGTGGTCGTGGTACATGTAGGTATCAATGACATAGGAAAGGGTAGGAGAGATGTCCTGGAGGCCAAATTTAGGCTGCTAGGAAAGAGAATGAAATGCCGGACCTCTATGGTGGCATTCTCAGAAATGCTTCCAGTTCCACGTGCAGGGCCAGGTAGGCAGGCAGAGCTTCAGAGTCTCAATGCGTGGATGAGACGATGGTGTAGAGAGGGGGGATTTAGATTTATTAGGAACTGGGGAAACTTTTGGTATAGGGAGAGCCTATACAGGAAGGATGGGCTCCACCTAAACCAAAGTGGATCCAGACGGCTGGCAGTTAACATTAAAAAGGTTGCAGAGCAGTTTTTAAACTAAGAGATGGGGGAAAGCCGATTGCTGCAGAGGCGCACGTGGATCGGACAGAGACTTCTCTTAGAGGAGAGTCTATTGATAGAGATTCTCTAGGTTTTAGTCAGGAGGAGAGGACGAAGAGGATAAAGTATGGGCAAGATCAGACGAGAAACATTCACATAAAGAATCTGACACATCAGAAAAGGGCAGACAAATAAACAGTTACAAGTGTTTGAAGTGCTTATACACAAATGCTAGAAGTCTAAATAATAAGATGGGTGAACCAGAGTGCCTCGTGTTAAAGGAGGATATTGATATAATAGGCATCACAGAAACCTGGTGGAGTGAGGACAATCAATGGGACACAATCATTTCGGGGTACAAAATATATCAGAAGGACAGAACAGGTCATGCAGGGGAGAAGGGGGAGTGGCACTATATGTGAAAGAAACTGCAGAATCAAGTGAAATAAAAATCTTAAATGAATCCACATGTTCCATAGAATCTCTATGGATAGTAATTCCATGATCTAATAAGAATATAACAGTAGGGATCTATTATCGACCCACGTGACCAGCACAGTGATAGTGACGATGAAATACTAAGGGAGATTAGAGAGGCTATCAAAAGAAAGAACTCAATAATAGTGGGGGATTTCCAGTTATCCCCATATTAACTGGGTACATGTCACCTCAGGATGAAATGCAGAGACAAAATTTCTCAATACTTTAAATGACTGCTTCTTGGAGCAGCTGGTACAGGAACCCACAAGGGGAGAAGCAACTCTTGATCTAGTCTTGAGTGGAGCGCAGGATCTGGTCCAAGAGGTAACTATAACAGGACCGCTTGGAAATAGTGACCATAATATAATAACATTTAACATTCCTGTGGTGGGAAGAACACCTCAACAGCTCAACACTGTGGCATTTAATTTCAGAAAGGGGAACTATGCAAAAATGAGGAGGTTAGTTAAACAGAAATTAAAAGGTACAGTGATAAGAGTGAAATCCCTGCAAGCTGCGTGGACACTTTTCAAAGACACCATAATAGAGGCTCAACTTAAATGTATACCCCAAATTAAAAAACACAGTAAAAGAACTAAAAAAGAGCCACCGTGGCTTAACAACCATGTAAAAGAAGCAATGAGAGATAAAAAGGCATCTTTTAAAAAGTGGAAGTCAAATCCTAATGAGGTAAATAGAAAGGAGCATAAACACTGCCAAATTAAATGTAAAAATGTAATAAGAAAAGTCAAAAAAGAGTTTGAAGAACAGCTAGCCAAAAACTCAAAAGGTAATAACAAAATGTTTTTTTTAAGTACATCAGAAGCAGGAAGCCTGCTAAACAACCAGTGGGGCCCCTGAAAGATCGAGATACAAAAGGAGCACTTAAAGACGATAAAGTCATTGCAGGGAAACTAAATGAATTCTTTACTTCAGGCTTCATGGCTGAGGATGTTAGGGAGATTCCCAAACCTGAGCTGTCTTTTGTAGGTGACAAATCTGAGGAATTGTCACAGATCGAAGTGACACTAGAGGAGGTTTTGGAATTAATTGAGAAACTTAGCAGTAACAAGTCACTGGGACCAGATGGCATTCACCCAAGAGTTCTAAAAGAACTCAAATGTGAAATTGTGAAACTATTAACTATGGTTTGTAACCTGTCCTTTAAATCAGCTACTGTACCCAATGACCAGAACATAGCTAAAGTAATGCCGATATTTAAGAAGGGCTCTAGAGGTGATCCTGGCAATTACAGACCAATAAGTCTAACATCAGTACCGGGCAAATTAGTTGAAACAATAGTAAAGAGTAAAATTGTCAGACACATACAAGAACATAAAATTGTTGCAGAAAAGTCAACATGGTTTCTGTAAAGGGAGATCATGTCTTACTAATCTATTAGAGTTCTTTGAGGGGGTCAACAAACATGTGGACAAGGGGGATCCAGTGGACATAGTGCACTTAGATTTCCAGAAAGCCTTTGACAAGGTCCCTCACCAAAGGCTCTTACGTAAATTAAGTTGTCATGGGATAAGAGGGAAGATCCTTTCATGGATTGAGAACTGGTTAAAAGACAGGGAACAAAGGGTAGGAATAAATGGTAAATTTTCAGAATGGAGAGGGGTAACTAGTGGTGTTCCCCAAAGGTCAGTCCTAGGACCAATCCTATTCAAGCTATTCATAAATGATCTGGAGAAAAGGGTAAACAGCGAGGTGGCAAAGTTTGCAGATGATACTAAACTGCTCAAGATAGTTGAGACCAAAGCAGACTGTGAAGAACTTCAAAAAGATCTCACAAAACTAAGTGATTGGGCAACAAAATGGCAAATGAAATTTAATGTGGATAAATGTAAAGTAATGCACATTGGAAAAAATAACCCCAATTATACATACAATATGAGGGGGGCTAATTTAGCTACAGCTAATCATACGGAAGCCATTCCATCCCTCTAGTAATTTTTGTTGCCCTTTTCTGAACCTTTTCCAATTCCAATATATCTTTTTTGAGATGGGGTGACCACATCTGCACACAGTATTCAAGAGGTGGGCGTACCATGGATTAATATAGAGGCAACATGATATTTTCTGATCTATTATCTATCCCTTTCTTAATTATTCCCAGCATCCTGTTAGCTTTTTTGACTGCCTCTGCACACTGAGTGGATGTTTTCAGAGAACTATCCACAATGACTCCAAGATCTCTTTCTTGAGTGGTAACAGATAAATTAGACGCCATCATTTTATATGTATAGTTGGGATTATGCTTTCCAATGGGCATTACTTTGCATTTATCAGCATTAAATTTCATCTGCCATTTTGTTGCTCAGTCACCCAGTTTTGAGAGATCCTTTTGTAGCTCTTCGCAGTCTACCTGGGTCTTAACTACCTTTAGTAATTTTGTATCATCTGCAAATTTTGCCATCTCACTGTTTAACCCTTTTTCCAGATCATTTATGAATATGTTGAATAGGACTGGTCCCAGAACAGACCTCTGGGGGACACCACGATTTACCTCTCTCCATTCTGAAAACTGACCAGTTATACCTACCCTTTGTTTCCTATCTTTTGTCTGGTTACCAATCAATGAGAGCACCTTCCCTCTTATCCCGTGACAGCTTACTTTGCATAAGAGCCTTCGGTGAGGGACCTTGTCAAAGGCTTTCTGAAAATCTAAGTACACTATATCCACTGGATCCCCTTGGTCCACATGTTTGTTGACCCTCTCAAAGAATTCTAGTAGATTGGTGAGGCATGATTTCCGTTTACTAAAACCATGTTGACGCCTCCTGAGTCATCTGGAAGATGCTTTTGTGGCACACAGGTTATACAGGGGATGGCCATGCAGATGTGATTCCCAGTGATGCAGGTGATAGAGTCACGCCAGCTGTTGTTGCTTACTCAAAAAACAAAGAGGTTGTTGGTTTGACAGCAAAACAAAGTAGAGGAAGAAATATTGCAAACACAGTAGTGAAAATAAAGAAGATTCTTGGGAGAAGCTCTGGTGACCCACAAGCTGAGAAATATATTGCAGAAAGCAAATGTCCAGTCACTGAGAAGAATGGAAAACTCCAGTATGAAACAGATAACAAACTTGTTTGCCCGGAAGAAGTTGCAAAACTCATATTCAGTAAAATGAAAGAAATTGCTCAGTCTCCTTTGGGTTCCAATGTCAATGATGTGGTTATTACTGCCAGGGCCAGTGCAAGGATATTTTGCGCCCTAGGCAAAACTTACACCTTGCGCCACCCTTCCCCTTTCCCCATTCTCCCCTCCCCCTGGACTCACAGACCAATTGACAGAAATTATTAGCAAAATGATGTAGCAGCAATTGCCAGAGTCTTATATCTGAAACAACTCAACAAAAATAGTTAGCCTCAGTCGACAACCTCCGAAAACTAGTAAACTTAGCATTATAAACAGCCTGTCAGAATGGGTAACGGCTGCGCGTGACAAGAAAAATGACATCATTGCCACTTTGTACCGTAGTGAAGCAGTGCGCTTATCCCACCCACCCCCGACACTCTCCCCGGAACACAGCCCTCCCCAGAGCCCCCCGGCACACAACCCCTGTGCCTCTCCCCGGAGCCTGGCAAGGCACATGGTGTCCCTCCCACCTACCCCCAAAACCCAAACCAGCACACTCCGCCTCACTCCATAGCCCCCTCCTCAGCCGGCTTGGCCCGCTGGTCCTCCACCTCCCCCCCAAAGTCTATCCCAGCACACAAAGAGCCCTCCCAGCCAGGCATACAACCCACCCCCCCCTTCACAGCGCCCAGCCAGACATGCAGCCCCCTTCAACCTCCCTCCGCTTTCTCCCTCCCCAGCACACAGCCCCCTCCTGCCCCCGCCTTTCCTCCCCCCGGCACAGGGCTGGCACCTGCAGGGAGAGAAGTGGGGGGAGAGTGATCAGCATGGGGAGGGGTGACCCCAAGCCCACCTCCCCTCCGCCCGGCAGCCTTCCACCTGCAAGCTCGTCGCCGCTTATCCTGCCGGAGCCCTTTTTGGTGCCCCCCAAATCTTGGCGCCCTAGGCGGCTGTCTAGTTTGCCTCATGATTACACCAGCCCTGACTGTACCATTTGAGTTTGGAGAGAACCAGAAAAATGCCCTTGGGCAAGTAGCTTGGGCAGCTGGATTTAATGTTCTGAGATTAATTCATGAGTCATCTGCACCTCTCTTTGCATATGGAATTGGACAAGATTCACCCACTGGGAAAAGCAATGTGTTGGTTTTTAAGCTTGAATGGAGCATCGCTTTCTGTGATAGTTATAGAAATAAATAGGGGTATATATCGTGTTCTTGCCACAAACACAGACGATAGTATAGCTGGTGTCTGTTTCACAGAAGACTTAGCACAACATTTAGCTTCTGAATTTCAGAGATCTTATAAACATGATACAAGAGGAAATTTCAGAGCTATGATGAAGCTAATGAACAGCACTGATGTTGCAAAACACTCTTTGTCAACCTTGGGAAGTGCAAACTGTTATGTCAACTCATTATATTATGTTCATGGATTTTTGACTCCCTTTCCATTTTGTCTCTTGTATACAGGCAATGGGTACTTTACTACTTTTCAACATCTTTTACTTCTTGATTTCCCAATTATTGTTCCCATGTTCACGGAAGCCAAATGTAGTTCTCAGTACATGTACCCAGAATGTGGTAGCCTTTTCCCACTTTCCACAGCCATCAGGCAAAGCAGTTGTGCATTGCTTACAGGGGACACCCTCGTATGTAGTGATACACTCCCTGAAGACAAGAACCCATGTGTGATTGGTGCAATTTTTACAAACTGGCTCGTCAACCCTGACCTTCTTGAATTGAAATCAGTCACTTTTCCTAGGTGGACTGCCTACCGTGGCTAATGAGTTCTACCTGCCCAGAACAATCTGGTTACAGGGTGTCAGACCACCCATCTTTAACACTCTCATTTTTCAATTCAGAACACCTTTGCCAAGAGAAGGCAAGAGGTCGGAGTTTAGCTGTGAGAGGCTAATATATTTTGCTAGCTGCATGAGGCATTTTCTAGGGAGTGAGAGCTCCTCCTCAAACCCACTTTGACCATGACAGCTTGCTAGGAGGGTCTTTAATAAATCTGAAAAAAAAACAAATTATGAAGTACTAGCTACCAAAGAGGAACTGCTGATGCCTTTTGTGTGACTCATAATAATAGGTAGCAGAAGGAGACCGGGAGATAACTTGTCAGAAAGGCTAGTGTATGCTAAATAGAATAGGAAAGATATAAAATTCTAAAGTGGTGGAAGGAAGTCTGGCAACAAAAATCTGTCTGATAAAGCCTCTGCATATGATAGAAAAGTTTTAATGTGGTTAAAATTTAATTTCATGGCTATACTGAGCTTCCAAATGGACTCAGAACATGAAATATAATTGTTGGTACGTGATACTTTATCTATGCTCCAATTTTTTCTCAACTGAAAGGTTTTATGCAGCTGATGATTCTGTGCCTGAAGATAAATGTAACTAATAGCAACAGGGAGATCCTGGGTTTCATATTACTGGACTATAATATGTACCTTTCTTATAACTTAATCATTCCATTTACTGCCACAAGGATCTTAACAACCAAAAATAAAAGGAGTACTTGTGGCACCTTAGAGACTAACAAATTTATAAAGTACTCCTTTTCTTTTTGCGAATACAGACTAACACAGCAGCTACTCTGAAACCAAAAATAAAATGATTCCCTCTTCTTCACAGGTAGAAGCATAATATATTTCCTCCCCTCCAAAATGTAGAAAACTGTCTTAAATATAATATACTTTCAGCTATATTTTCTATGGAAATATGCCTAAATGCCTGATCTGAAATATTTTTAAACAGTTACATTCTTCAGGAATTTTTTAACCTCAGTTTAATTATAGGCTGAAAAAGTTTACCATGATCTGATATTTATTTTCCAAAAAGTCACACTCAATATATACTGACATATTGAAAAGATGGGTGAAATTCATCCCTATATAGAAAGCTAACACAAGGCCTATGAAGGAATTAAATTTATAAATTATATTTAATCTGATAGTTGGATGATCTTTACTTGTGGTCTTAAAATATCATACCACCTTCTTGGACATGGCATGTCACAAATACTTTCCCTCATGGCTCTGTATAACAAACGGTATCTTATCACTTTGTTTCATATTTCATTAGTAGTTTTTATGCTGTAAGAGCCACATCCTGGTTTTGTTTAAAATTGATGGGAATTCTGCCTTTAACTTCAGTGGGACCAGGATTTGGTCTTTATGCAACATCACTCTCCTGTGGTAAGACTTACAAATTGCATTTAAAAATATATTTGTTTTGATTTTTTGCATTTAGCACAAAATACACTTCTTTTTATCCTGTGTATGGGGTGTGTTTTTTTTTTTGTGGGTTTGTTGTTTCTTTGGCTTGTGTTTTTTTGTCTTTGTTTGTTTTTAGAAGAGAGAACACAAGTAAGAGCTGGATTCATTACGCTGCCGAACACTTTTTTTACTTACTTATTTTTCCTCTGGTTGTCCAGGAGTAAATTTTATTTATATGCTTGCATAATTGTCTCTTTTAAAACAAAAAGGGCGGGAAGGATGAAAGCAAAAAAAAGTGTTATGGCATTAAGGTTCAGATTCTATGTGCATTAAAATTAGGAAATTCAAACAGGGATGGGCTGTAGAGCCCCACATCCCATGGAAGGGTGGCACATCCCATGGAACGGTGGCATTCTGTAGCTGGGAATGTGCCTTAGATATCCAGACCTAGGAACGGCAGTGTAACCAGTTAGTTCATTTTATCATCCATTTAACATATTATGTGGGGTTATGGTCAATTCATATGCTATTTCATCTATAATCCTATGCAGTTTAAATCTATTTATCACACATTGATTATATGAGTATAGGATGGATAAGTATTTGAGTGAAGTGTGAACTTTTATAATGTGGTATGCTGACACCCTATGGGTTCATACATATTTAGGAAGGCTTTAACCCCTTTTTCTCACTTGAACTTCCACACCCATAAGAACGGCCATACTGGGTCAGACCAAAGGTCCTGCTAGCCCAATATCCTGTCTTCCGACAGTGGCCAAAGCCAGGTACCTGAGAGGGAATGTACAGAACAGGTAATCATCAAGTAATCCATCCCCTGTCGCCCATTCCCACCTTCTCGCAAACAGAGGCTAGGGACACCATCCCTGCCCATCCTGGCTAATAGCCACTGATGGACCTATCCTTCATGAACTTATCTAGTTACTTTTTTAACCCTATTATAGTCTTGGCCTTCACAACGTCCTCTGGCAAGGAGTTTCACAGGTTGACTGTGCGTTGTGTGAAAAAAATACTTCTTTTTGTTTTAAACCTGATACCTATTAATCTCATTTGGTGACCCCTAGTTCTTGTGTTATGAGAAGGAGTAAATACCACTTCCTTATTTACTTTTTCCACAGCAGTCACAATTTTATAGACTTCTAGCATATCCCCCCTTTATCGTCTCTTTTCCAAGCTGAAAAGTCCCAGTCTGATTAATCTCTCCTCACATGGCAGCCGTTCCATACTCCTAATCATTTCTGTTGCCCTTTTCTGAACCTTTTCCAATTCCAATATATCTTTTTTGAGATGAGGCAACCACATCTGCACTCAGTATTCAAGATGTGGGCATACTATGGATTTATATAGAGGCAACGTGACATTTTCTGTCTTATTATCTATCCCCGTCTTAATAATTCCAAACATTCTGTTTGCTTTTTTGACTGCTGCTGCACATTGAGTGGATGTTTTCAGAGAATTATCCACAATGACTCCAAGATCTCTTTCTTGAGTGGCAACAGCTAATTTAGACCCCCATCATTTTATATGTATAGTTGGGATTATGTTTTCCAATGTGCATTATTTTGCATTTATCAACATTGCATTTCATCTGCCATTTTGCTGCCCAGTCACCCAGTTTTGTGAATCACGCACTACTTTTTGGGTGCTCCAGTTTTCATAGACTCTTATTATCTCCCTTTATACTCTTTTCAGAGGAACAGCCGTGTTAGTCTGTATTCGCAAAAAGAAAAGGAGTACTTGTGGCACCTTAGAGACTAACCAATTTATTTGAGCATGAGCTTTCGTGAGCCACAGCTCACGAGCTGTGGCTCACGAAAGCTCATGCTCAAATAAATTGGTTAGTCTCTAAGGTGCCACAAGTACTCCTTTTCTTTTTGCTTTATACTCTTATTATCACCCAGTCACCATAACAACTTGTGGTTAGCACACTGTAGACACCCTATGTTTGCAAAATACTCTAAACGACTTTAACTGGTACACTGCAATATGTATTTCTTAAATATTAGCAGTTAACACTTCTATTCCTGTGACTAATATAGGATCACTTATCAGTTAGCTACTCATGTGAGATTCTCTTTAGGCCTGAGGCCTTGTTCGGCTAAGCTAAATATCTTACAAGCCTGAGGCCTGTTGGCCCAGTATTACAACATTAATTCTTATTTTTCACCTTTATTCCTAACTATACCTGATAACTTTTATCCTTTGCCACAAACAGGAAATTCAGATTTCACTCTTCCATTGGGTGTATGCATCCAAGTTGGATCTTGGTATGGAGTCACATAACATATAAGCAGTAATACAAAACACATATATGTGTTTAAGATCACAGAAATAGGAGCAGCTCCTTCTGTGTTTTTCTGCAGCACACCAGACTGAAATTCTATAGCAAGTGTTCCTGTTTTCTCTTGTAGACAGTACTGAATTCTGTGGCAGGAACAAACAAGTCAGAAATATTAAAATTAATAATAAATCTTGTTTGTTTTATTAAAGACCTTTCTATGAATTTTATCATAAAACTTGGAATTATGCTACAGAATTCAGTCTGTTGCTAAAGAACGTTGGGAGCAGCCCTAGAAGGGGGATAGTACTTGCATTCCTCCTAGCTGTTGGCACAGGTCAGTGTGGGGTTCAACTCTCTTCTGGGGACTTTCTATTCTTCCTTCTGCCTTATCATCCTGCAAAGGGGTAGGTTCAGCAGCTTCTCTTTCCCACTCCTTGTCTTTGTATGGTCCCTCAGGAATGGCAGTTGTACCCACATCTTCACTCTCCCTGCAGCTTTTCATTGAGGCATTGAATCATTTTCAGCTCAAATCATCAGCAATTAGTTCCATCTTTTACAGAATACCTCAGAGATGGAGGACATGATATTTCAATACACCACAGGAGCTAAAGCAATCCTATAGTTCCATTAAGGTTTTATGCTTGGAGTTAGCTGGTTCCATCCATCTAGAATTACTCTCTCAAGTTGTTGTAAAGTTAGGTCTCTTTTCCCCCTTTACTCACTTGAGCTTGTCCATTTTTTGTTTTGCAAATGGCTAAATCATATTTACGTCAAACTTTCCTTCCTGAAGCTTCTTGCTTCCACTGATTACAGGTGACATGCTTTCAAGAGCACCAGTATGAATCTCCTTCACATTCCATGTTTCACAAGCAACCAGGCCCCTCTCATCAGGACTCTGAGTTAGATAATACTGCTGGTATCTACCCAGGATGTTAATAATCTTTACTCCATATCATATTCCACCTATGACAGATGTATCACAAGTTTTATGGATTTAATATTTAATGACCTAAATAGAATTAGAAATATACAACAGGGACAGTAAGGATGCCAGAAGTAGGGAAAATGAAGTGTAGGTAAGCGGGGAGAAAAGGGTTTTCAGCAGATACTTGAAAAGAGATGAAGAGCTGATAAGGCAGAAAGAGAAAGATACAAGAAGCCTGTTGCAGATGGTAGGAATTGCATAAGGGAGGCAAGTGATCGCTGAATTAGGCGGGATGGTAGTGGGATGTATATACCCTATCACTAATTGAACCTAGAAGAG